CCCCAGCAGGGAGCACCCTGGCCCCCTGCCCGGCCCGGAAGCTCCCAGCCCCCCACCCCGGGCCTTACCTCCGATCTTCGCGTTGTATGCGATGCCCACGATGCAGTAGGAGTTGTTGGCGGCGGCCGCCACTTCGCCTGCGCAGCGCGTGCCGTGCCTGAAACCGAAGGCGAGGCAGTGAGGACTCGGCCGGCAATTTGGGGGAATCTGGTGAGTCCCGGGAGGGTCACACCAGCCCTGGCACAGCCCCTGGCACAGCCCCGGGCAGCCCTGTCTGTCCCTTCCGCACCTGCCGGCGACAAGGCCCGCCCGTGACCTTGGAAATGGCTCAGGGGTCGTATCTTCCTTTACCCCACATCGGAGTGGGCGGCTCCTCCCCAGGTCCCCGCTCCCATCCTCCCAAACTCTGCATTCCTCTAACACCACCCTGCCTGGCACCCACAGGATGGAAGGAAGAACACAGTGAGAACACACGGCCCTGGCCGGGGTGGCTCAGTGGTTAGGCATCTACCTAGCAACCAGGAGGTCACGGTGGTCAGGGCACAGGCCCGGTTGGTGGGCTCCATCCCCAGTACGGGGCGTGCAGGAGGCAGCCGACCCACGATTCTCTCTCTTCTTATTGATGTTTCTATCTCTCCCTCTCCCTTCCTCTCTGAAATCAGTAAAAATATATTTAAGGAAAAAAAAAAAAAGGAGGACGTAAGGACCTAGCCGGTTTGGCTCAGAGCATATAGCATCAGCCTGAAGGATTGCAGGCTTGATCCCCGAGACTGGTCCGGGCAGGAGACAACCCATCGATGTCTGTCTCTGTCTCTGTGTGTGTGTCTCTCTCTCTCCCTCTCTCTCTGTCTACCTCCTTTCCTCCCTCTTTTCCACTCTCTCCAAAAATTCAATGAAAAAATATCCTTGGGTGAGGATTAACGAAAAAAAATTTAAAAAAAAAAGAGGACTTAGTATGTCTCGTGCCTGGTGTACCTGCCACCCCCACGCTCACCCCACACAGCCCTCCTGTCCTTCCCACGCCACCGACTCAGGCGCTGAGGGAAAACACGCTCCGTGGACTGCCCCACCCCAGCGGAGGAACTGGGAAGAAATCGTCAGAAAAACAAACTGCTCCCCCTCCTCCCCATCCCCCCCACAATGACCCCATCAGCCACTGTGCCGGCCGCTCAATTCCTCCCGCGAGAACAGCGCCTCTTTGAGAAGCGTCCCCAGGGGACGAGAACCAGGGATGTCCATCTAAACCCGACTCTAAAAACAGCCCGCGGCCTGCGTGCCCTGGACCCCAGCCCTCCATCCTCAGCCCCACGCCCGGCGGCTCAGGGTCTGTCTGGACCCGGATGAGTCCTGCCCGGCGAAGGTCAGGCGGTGGCGGTTTCTGGGTCATGCCTCTGTGCCCTGCGGATGTGAGGCTGGGAATCGAGGCGCCCTGCACCCCAGGCGGGCTCCCTGCTGCGCGGGAAGGGCACCTGGGGATGTGAGGCAGGGACAGCAGTTCCCCACCCCACCCCCCACCCCCCGACTGCGAGGCCGGGCCTCTGCGGGTTCCTGGAGCTGCCAAACCTCCCTGCTCAGTGCCATGTGGACACCGGCCTCTGCCCCTCGGAATCGAATCAACCGCAAAGGGAAAGGGGACGGGGGTAGGTTGCATCCTGGCCAACGGCCGTCGGGTCAACAGTGGGGAAGAGAGAAAGGGCTTTTGTTCTTCTCCTGGAAATATTTTTGGAAGAACGACGTGAAAAGCTCAGGCATGGGACACCCTGACAGAGAGAGGACAAGCAGGACACAGCCCGGCAAGTCCCAGGAGCAGGTCTGAGCAACTGAACTCCGACCCGGGGCTGCCATGGACGGCGCCCAAGTCACCAGACGCCTCCTGAGGCCACTCCCCCTTCACCAGCAAAGAGACGGTGACAACCTTGTTGTGTGTATTTTTAAATGACAACAAATACACGTCTATCAACAAGTGAATCTAAAAATCAAGTGAATAAATAATCTGATGAACAGAATAAACTGGTGATTATAATAGAATCAGGGGCATAGAAAGGGAGTGGACTGACTATTCTTGGGGGGGAAAGGGGTGTGGGGG